CAACCAACTAATAAATAAGCAACTGAAAAAGAAAAATGATAAAAGAAACAGCAAAAACAATAACAACAATCATGATAGCCATTACCAATGACATCAGCTAGTGTATAACAACACTAATAATATCATAATCATTACCACTTTTATCATATCACAATGGCAATGAGATAAAACAAGTAACAGAAAGTAGTACTGACTTCAAAGTCTTAATTTTCATGATGGTGGGAACTGCATCTTGTATCCTCTGGACGCTGTGCAGATTCAATGAGACTAGAAACTTCATGTGGAGGATATAGGTCAGCTCATCCAGGAAGAAGCAGCCTGACATGTCCAGATGGGTCAGCTTTGAGAGTGGCTTCATGAGGAGAGCAAAGTACTGGGGCTCCATGGGCAGGTAGAGGTCTCGCACAACAAGCTTCCGTAAATTGGGAGTCTTAAGAATGTAGCCTCTTTGCTCAATTTCACTCAGGGGACTGGAATCTGAGCTATCACTTGACTCTGGGAGACTCACTGAGTCTGGCAGCACAGTCTTTGTCTTGCCAATCACTAAGGCTGTCAAAGTTTCACCAACTTTATTAATATTTTCTAATGTTCTTTCTGTAAGTTTACTGCAGTTACTTATATCTACTTCCACTAAATGATGAGAGAGTAAAAGATTCAGCCCATGGTCGGACACTGAGGAGTTTCTTAATGTTATTCTTTTTAGCCTTGTGCATGCCAGGTCCTTAAATATATTAATGAATTTATCATCCAAACCCTTAGGATCCCCATCTTGCCATAACGTTATAAGTTTTTCACATATTTCCATTGGCAGAGCCAGGCCTGGTCTAAGGCACCAAAGACCTGACTCAGGATGGAGAACACAAAAGGTTTCAGGGTGAGATATTACATATTTCCCACAGAGGTCAAGAAGGGACTCCGGGGAGCTATCCTCCCAGGGACAGTAAATATTTGTAGTTCCCATGGCTGTTGCAGAGCTGCCTCTTTTGAGCCAGAATCACTTGTGCATCTTGATTTTTGGCCTGTAAAGAGATACATGAAGGTGAGTGATAAATGAAAGCCTCTATGGATGGCAAGGTAAAATACTCCCATAATGACAACAAAAATATTATTTTCTTTCCATTACTTTCTGTTTGTCAGAATACATTTACTGATGACTGAAAGAAAACTAGGCTTGTTCTAGTTAATTGCATAACAATACAACAAAAGCTTATTTCATAAACACTACTGACAATTTATGACTTGTGAAATTTAATATTTTTATTTTCATATCATAAACTGGTACCTTATTGCACCAGGGTTTCACAATACATCTGCAATTTGAAAAAAAAAAAAAAAAAAAAAAAAAAAAAAAAAAAAAAAAATGCACCACAAAATGACTTTCTCATATTTTCTTCCATATACTTCTTATATTTCATTATCAGATGTATATATAAAAAAACTCCATAATAACAGCCCATATTATAGAGTAACACTAAGAATTTTGTCTTACTAATCTTAGTTTTATCTGCAGTTGAATCAAGAAAGGGAAACTATTTACTTTCATTCAGTCCAAAGATTTTTAGCCACTGTATTTTAAAGCAAATTTCCTAAATATATATATATATATATATATATATATATATATATATATATATATATATATATAAGAAAAA